ACATTTCAGTTGGGACGAAGTGAACAAAGGAACAAATGACGCTACTGAAGAAGTGTCACCTGAAAAAGCCAGCATTGAAGAAGAAACTCTACTCGGTTTTGAGAAGGGAAACGGTGAAGCTCTTGATGAAGTTACTACCACTGATGTGATTGTTACCGATGATAGGACATTTCCTGATGAAGCAGATGAACCCCACGTGAAGCAGAAGCCAACGAGACGGAGACCAGTACGGAAGAAGATACGTCCCATAAAATTAAGAGACTTTATTGAATTGTAATTTTGTGATTGTAATTCTGTACATTTAATTAACTTATTGTTAATTATCTATTCTGTTTAATTTAAGTGGCTATTGTTCGGGACGAACAATACTAAGGAAGGGGCAGTGTTAAGACAGCGGAAGTCACGTGACGCTGGTAACAAGTGATGAGTGTCTAGAAGATTCGCGAAGAGGCTAGTGCGAGGTACGCGTGCGCTTTTATTGTATATAAGCGCGCCAGATAAAGGAGACAGTCATTCGGAACTGGAGTAGCAGATAGACAGATTGAAGATACACGGATAGTTGAGTCAAGCCGGCGGTAGGCACCGTAAGTAAAGTGCGTGATTCATTCGTTGTGAATTATAGCGTGTTTTTTAGTTAAAGTAACTGTGGAAATTAAGTGTATTGCAAAGTTGTATTGAGAAAGAATAAACTAGTTTTATTTAAGAAAGGATTTGTATCGCTAAAGTTTCATCTGATAGAAATTATACGGAAAATTAACAAACGACCAGGGACGTAACAATATATATATACAAAAGATATCAACCAGGATTTGAAATTAAACTAACTGTTTAATTCTGTTACTAATATTTTACTGATTATTTTGAGATATTTAGCAGTGTAATGTTTGTTACACTTTTGTTTTGGAACCCTTTGGCCTTTCTTGTTCAGTAACACAAAGAATACCAGATTGGTTTTCTTAGACATTAGTATGAAAAACGTATATTTGAATTTTTATCCAAATACCTTATTAAGTCTATTTTTGTTTGAATTTATTCATATCAAATTCAGCTCAATATTTTCTTCAACCACCCCTTTTGAAACTTGAATATGGTGGCACTATTATTTGTTTTGTCTTGGTTTGACGATCATTAAGTATAACAATAACTTGACAACTGAGATATTAATAATATTAGAAATGTTTAAAAAAAAGTTTATTTTTTGTAAGCCTTTTTCACAACTTGCAACTATCTTTGCAGCAAGCAAGTAAGGAAATGCCTGGTTGTAGGAAAACATTTTGTCAAATTCAGGTATAAATAATCAGTATTTTATCTGAAAATGAAATATGTATATGGCTTTTTACATACTTTCACAAAAAATATAACTAAAATCTTGTGAAAGTGACTGACTTTCATGATTTTTCAGCTTTTGTTCACCAGTGCTTATTATAAAACATCTGTATTTATTTTGTACATATTTTTCAGTCTTTTACAGAAACTTCCACGAGTAATTACTAGAAAAGACTATTTTTCATGTATAGCCTTAAAAATCTAAATTAGTAGAAACTTTGACAGCTAATACATGTAAAATCAGTTAAAAAGTTTTTGCTAATCTTGTCTCTTATCCTTAGGCAACACGGAAACAAAGAAACTTATTAATTATAGCTGTGATACAGTTAGTGAATTAAGTCATAGTCTAATAATTCGATAATTTTTGTAGCAATGGAAAAATACACAGTTACTGGACATATTGGAGAAGGTGCTCATGGAATAGTTCTAAAAGCTCGTTGTTTAGAAACTGGAGAAATAGTGGCTTTAAAAAAAAGTTCCTCTGAAAAAATTGGAGAATGGTATACCATGTTCTGTGTTACGGTATGTAAATGATATTAATAAAAACTAGCTTGCAGTAACCAGTTATGGTTTAATGTTGATACATTATGCACCTGATATATATAAATGTTTAATTCACTAATATAATTAATTGTATATATATATATATATATATATATAATTGGAGTGTTAATAAATGCTAGTTAAAAATAGTTTAACTTATAAACAGATTTTAAATAAAATCCTTTATGAATGTTTATTCCAGCGAAATAAAAGCATTGCAGCAACTTGACCATGCAAATGTAAGTTGTTCCATCTATATGTGTAATTAAGAAAATTCTATGATTTGAAATGTATCTTTTTATTTTTACAATGAAAGATTATACACAGTATTAGTCATTTAGTATACAGTGTCATCAGTCTTTATAACTATCATATAAATTACCATTATGTTTAAGAAAGACTGTTAAACTGAAAAATAGTTTTGGTTTATTTATAAATATACAGTTTTGTGCCAAGTAAGAGGTAGTTTTAAGATTATATACTCTTATTTAGAAGTTATGTCTCTGGTTACTAGTTAGTGCTCGGTATTTGGTTCAGTAATTTTGTATGTATGAAGGCCACGTGCTGCTCATACATCTCCAATAATAGCTTTTGAACAAATGATTAAACAACTCCATATTTGTCTTGCAGGTGGTTAAACTTCTGGATGTATTTCCTTATGGATCATCAGTAGCTCTGGTGTTTGAATACATGCCCACAGATCTTTCCGTGTTGCTTTATGATCCAGATACACCTTTGACAGAAGCTCAAGTCAAAGCTTACATGAGTATGTTACTTAAGGGAGTGGATTATTGTCATTCTCTTGGAATAATGCATAGAGTAAGTAATTAAATGTCATCAAGTAAGATGATGCTTTCCTTCTGTGACTGAGTGTTCATCTTACATTACAGTGTCCACTTGCAGAAAGTCTGATGGTGTATACTGCAGCATTAAGTGTTCCCTTGTATTAAAGAAATAGTTTGCTTAGAAATGTTTTAATCAATGATCTAAATAATTTTGCAATTGCTCAAATAGTATAACTTGATCTTTAGTTGTACTTGTATCCTTTTCAATCAGCTTGTAATCAGATTCTTTTAAATTAAACTTATGCTAAAACATGTCCACATTCCATACCTAGTATTGAACATATATATATTGTAATTTTAAATCTCTAGACATAAAATAGTCATACATGCACCAGACTCCTTTATGCACATCTGTGCATTTTTGCTGATCGTAACAAGCTTAGTGTAGCAGGCTAAAAGTTGGCCCTCTAGTGCAAAAGTATGCAATTTCATATTGCAGATAGAGTGACTTACAACTAATATGAGATATATCAATTTAAAATTTTTAGTTACTAGGAGCCAGGAACCATCCTCTGATAGGCAGTGTTCATTTGTGTTGCTGACATTTTCTTAAAAAACAACATGTCTAAAGAAGAGAGGTATAAGTCATTGCTTTTTTGGTTAAAAGCGTGAGCTTTTCAAAAGTAGATATCTATAACTTATAATAATTGTTTTCATAACCATCTAGTATGAGGTTGGTTAGGCCTTAATTTTCAGAGGAGTTTAATGTAGTAGTCTTAGTTCATTATTGTTCTTTTCTGTGCCACCAGAAAAAAAATAAGGGGCACAATGTAACCTCAAAGGGTAAAAGTGAAGGAGCTAATGTCCATTTCATCAAGGGCAACATCATGCGTATGGGCTCAGTCAGTTTGATCAATCTTGTTGTGTGCATGTCACAATAGTTTTAGAAAGTTATGTTCAAAAGTTAATTAACAACTTCATTATAAATGTATAATATCATACGAGTTTTAATTTCCTTAGTTTTAAACCAAATATTTAAAAAAATTCTCAGTCTTTAATCTTCTGATACTCATATGTCTGCTCTCTGATCTGCCTCATTTTACAACTTTAACAGTACAGCTTCTACATTGCCTTGCCAATTAGAAACACAAACTACACATATTGACAAGGAAGAATATCAAATCTGAACCACCTACCTTCTTGATTTGTTGAGATATCAATAAATATGTTAAACTCATCTGAGAAGCACCTTCCATATTTTCATGTATTTTAAACCAATTATTCACACACACACACACACACACACACACACACCTACTTGTCTGATGGACATGTTTATAACCAATAGAAAGATCATATTATAATGTACAGGAATCTTATGTTCATTTGGTTAGCTTTGGCACTGAAAGACAGTAGTTCTCAAGAAAAGAGTTTTGTATGTTGAGTGAAGTCGCTGCTCCAAGCAATAATATAAAGACTGACAAATTGTAGTAGTTTTGGGATATCTGTTCTAGTTAGTTGTTGATATGACTTTTGTTTTCAAAAATGCATATTTAAAAGATGTGTGAATTGTTTTTATTTTGAACAACCAACAAAGTGAGAAAAAAAGTAGGGTTACTGAAGCATGGCATCCAAGTACAAATGACCTTAAACAGAAATAAGTGCTAAATGTTTTGTGTATATATATATCTATTTTTTGTTATATAGTTTTAATAGAGGTAACTAAAATGCAAAAATTAGAAACTTATTAGGTTAGTTCATAAAAACTTGAAAAAAAAATCACAAGAAAAGTCGGGGAAGCTCAATGTATATGCATCATGTAGCTGTAACATGATTGTTTATCTTAAGCTCTACTCATGCATGTATACAGGGGTGGGGTGGGGAGCTTGGCTAAACCCCTCAATTTTTGTGATGTATAAAAATTATGTTTATATAGTTATAGCACAGCTGTTTATGGTATTTAACATTTTCTACATAGTCTACATTCTTCTGATGAAGTGTCAGTATTTTTTGGCTGGAAACAGTCGCATGCAATGACTTCTGTTGATACTTTGTAATTGGAAGCCCGAAGCTATAATGCAGCTCACAAGTTTTGTTGCATGGATTCTTTACAGTAGGTGGCCTGTGACTTGGGAATAAATTTAAACAATAAACAAACAGCAACACAGTCCACTTGTTTTAAAAAAATATATTAAAACATGTCAAACATATATACAAATGTTTGTTCCACTGTCCATTATCACAGTTGTATACAGAGCTTTAAATAGTTCTTTTTTTTTTTCGTCAAAGTCTACACAGGCTAGTTCAGTTACTTTAGAACACAATTGAGAAGACAAATTATTCTTCTCTGCTCTGTTATTACAGTACAGTCTGTGATAATTTCACTTTAAAAAGTGACACTGTAGGCTCTTCATTGCTAAACTCACAATCACAATTTGTGTATTTTATGTGAACAGCTGTTCAATTGTTTAATCTAAATTTCATGCAAAATTGCTTCTAGATCTAATCTTATAGCACCTATTTTTAAAAAATTTTTTTGGGTGGAGTATGCACCCCAGACTCCTGCAGCATTAGCTTGCTTTGTATGCTAATTGTGTTTTGCACAATACGTGTTGGTTTTTGATCTCACAAATTACAACCACCCTTTTCAAACATTCTACGTACGGGCCTGTATACTTCTGTGATCTGTTGTTTTTCTAGCCCAGAAAGTGTCCAAAGTATAGTAATAAGACAATCAAATTTAAAGAAAGTGGCTGAGGCTCTTAGGATAAATAATTGTGATTTTTTTGTTACAATCTGCCATTATTCTAGAAAAAAAAGGAATTTTTGATTTTTTTTCATATTTTTGAATTTTTCAATTCATTGTACATTGATGATTTTAAGATAGTGTTAGGGTAGAGAAACTGAAGAGATGAAGTGTAATTTTTTACTAAAACATTTCACTATTTATTTAAGAGGCTTAAAGTTATGTAAATGAAATATAAAAACTGTAAGGTGAAAATGAGTATTTTTACTCTTAGAATGAAAATCACTTTTTACTCAAACTGACTCAGTTAAGGCTGTGAATTTTTTGGTAAAGGCTTCATAAATTCACAGACAAATAAATCTTTAGTAAACATATTAAAAAATTTGATTTTGTGTACAAGAGACTTTTAATGTTTACTAAAAGAATGCCAAATTTCATGAAGACCCATTTAGTACATTGAAAATTATAGTATGAATAGTTTCATGATTACAAAGTGGTTAAAAGTTGGTTGGATTAACTGAGCCCATATGCACAAGTATAAGCACCTATATTTCATTCGTGGGGAGTTCTTGCCTGTTCAACAGTGCAATTTCACCACAGTAAACTTAGAAATGTAGAGAGATGTTCCACAGCCTTTTCGAAAGAAAGATACTTGTATTGCATGATTATAAAACAATGCAAAGCCAAAGGACACATTACAAAGAAAAAAGCCGCCAACTTCTTCAATGGAAACAATGCCCTTGTCCGCAAAGTATAGACTCTGGCCATGAAGAAGAGCCTTCCAGAAAATATGGGTAGAAACTTAGAACTCTTTTAATAAGTGAAAATAATTTTAATATTGTTGTGACATAGTTCTTTCATTGGTGGGTTCTTATAAATCACCCAGTGAAAATAACTCGTGTACAGTCCATATAATGATAACATATTACTTAATTTCCTCATTTAATGTTTCTACACACTTTAACACTTGTACACTGCCAAAAATTGCTAAAGGAAAATTAAAATGGCATTAAATAACATAAAAGAAATCAATTTACTTGGAATCACTCGTCCCCACTATTATATTTTAATATAGCTTCAAATGTGCTAGAACATTTCATGTCACATCCTTAAGAGTTTTCTAGATGTTCTAGTTTTTTTTTAACTTTCTGCTCTCAACGTCATCGTTAAGATCTGCAGCTAACTCTAGCTAATATTTAAATTACAACATATAGCTTCAAACAATATATATACATCAAAATTGTTTGTATAAAATGTATGTGTACCAATTATAATTAATTGAATCCATTATATTTTCTGCCATCTAAATTAACATTCTGTTTTAGATTTTATCTGGGTAATATTTTAATGCTGATAGAACACACATGGTTCATGCTGAATGAGTCAACATTACATTTCAGGACCTGAAACCAGCAAATCTTCTCATCAGCTGTACAGGTTGGCTAAAAATTGCAGATTTTGGTCTGGCGTGCTTGCTTGATAATAATCCCAATAAGCAGTATAGCCACCAGGTGGCCACAAGGTATGTCTTAGTGCATTTCATAGAGGATAATTAAAATAATCAAGTACATTAAGATTTTACTTAGCTGGTGTGTGACGTAGCATAGTTTTTAACACTAGCTGCTCTTTGTTTCCTAATCTGACTGTTAAACATGTTGCATGGTATGTTGAAAAGACCAACTAGAATTTATTCAATAGGTTTTTTAAATATTTTATTTATTACTTTCTATGTTTGTTTATGCATTAAAAACTATAGGACATAAAATTTGTGTGATTAGCCAGTTGTGTCATCCTATGCATGTGTGAAAAAAATATATCATCAACATTCAAATACATAATATTTCACAATATGATTATGTATCTCAATATTTCCATCTTCTGAGAGTTAACTTACAATGTTATAGGTAGGGGAACCAAACTAATTCCTTTCCCAAAAATTTAAGGTTCCCATCTTTTCATCCATCTGTATAATGGTAAATGACTCCAAAGAAATGTGTATAATGACAAGTAACATCTTCTTTAGACCAATGATAGTACCTTCAGCTAATTGTTTAATGCCAGCTTGTTGATATATCAGAACCCGAGTGCAAAATTTAAAGTGAAGATCTGTCCTAGTAATTCAAAACATAGTTTCTAAACTACCCCATAAGGGAATGAAGCTCATTTAAAGTAAATCATTACCCTTCATGTAAAATTTCTTTCAAATAAGAAAACGTTGTAGTTATTATAGCTATGGTTATTTTGAATTAGAAAGATGAAATGTTCTGTCTATGTTTATAATATACACTACATGTATTATGTTTGTAATAGTTTTCCAATGTAATGTCATGTTGTGCTTGTGAACAAGAAGGTTGTTGGTGTGGAGATAATAACAGGCAGAATCCAGTTGTTGTCAAATTGTTCCTTTAAAAATGTTTTTATATATTTTCCAGGTGGTATCGTGCACCAGAGTTGTTATATGGGGCAAGGCAGTACAACCAAGGAGTTGACTTATGGTTTGTATGAATACCAAAGTGTTTTAAAAGAAATTCAGCTTTAGGAATAATGGGTTTTCTTTTTATTATCTACTTAGATAAAATTAAGTATAGGGTTTCAGATATAACTTATTGTTTGATACATTTATTAATTTGATTTGCAGATTATGTTTTTATAGATGTTTAATATGTACAGATAGTAACATTTATTGATTAATAAAAGTAATATGTCTTTTAAACCACGATTATTTATTATTGCAAAACAATAATATTTTGCTACATGTTTTGGCCACATTTTTTGGGGGTCATCATCAGGCACAATGAAAGTAGACAAGACAACAGTATATATACTGTACTTATAAATCTCATTCTTAGAACATGTGATGAAAGTCAATTTTAAATTTGCATTCTATGTAAATGAAACAATACCAGTTTATACATATACACACACATATATATATATAGGTTAAGGTGTTCAATATAATTATACAACAATATACAAAATATATTGTTAATAAATATATACATGTCTATACAGTGTTAATCAGAGTATAGCTAGATGATGGAAATTCCAGGACATTTCCCTTTATTCATGAAATAAAATTGTTGTCTTGTCTACTTTCATTCTGCCTGATGGGGACTCCGTCACCACAAATTTTTATTAATTAATTGCCACAATATATGTGAGTAAATCAATTAATTATTGATTTTTATAGTTTGGTTTTAGCTGGGAATGTTTATCTAGATATATTAACGTGTTCATGTTATACATTCAGTTTTTTAACATATTTTAAATGCATAAGAATCGGAAGCTCATGATTATTGAGATTTTATGTTAAAATTTTAGTAATTGTTTCTCATGTTTTAGTAGTATATACCTTTGTAATTTTTTGTACTTCTTACATTCAGGGCTGTTGGATGTATTTTTGGAGAAATGTTAAACTGCTTCCCTCTGTTCAGGGTAAGTGTATATGAATTTTTTATTATATTGTTACGTCTCTGCTCGTTTGTTAATTTCCAGTATAAATTCTTCCCAAGGAACTGCAGTGATACAAGTACTTTCTTAAATAAAACTAGTTTATTCTTTCTCAATACAACTTTGCAATACACTCAATTCCCACAGTCACTTTAACTTAAACACAC